ATATAAACTATATTTATTTTAATACATGTAAAATAACAATATAACGTCAGTGTACCAAAACCGCAACAAGTTTCGAAAAGCAGCACGAGAAAGTAATTGGCTGTGGATTATGGTTACAAGGACAGGTTAAATTTTCGAATAATTACAAAAACATATTTTTTTATTTTATTTCCGAACTTAATGCTAGTTTAGTGATGAATTTATCAAAACTGCCTGCAACTATGTGTAATTTTCTGCATATTTGGATCATTTAACCGCCATAATTAGAATAAAAAATACCACTGTCCCTTTCAGAGTAAGTGATCAAAAACCTACACGTTATATCTGTTAAAATTGATTACAATTGGCATTTGTACCAAAGTAAAAAATCCATGAACATTTAATTGAAACGCTTTCCGCGTTTGCTACATCGACGTTATTTATTGTAAGCACTGAAATATAAGATTGAAGCGTCTTGTGTATACAATTTAGGCTAAGTAATTCATTGGTTAACAGCAAGCAAATATAGGGAAACAGAAAATACTGATTCTTAGCACAGGTAAGTAAGTAGCAATTTACTGTAATATGAACAGCTCAATACGTGTATATTAATACTTAGGAATAGAAATTCAATACTGTGATAACAAATATCCTACCGAGAGGAAGTGTCAACATAAAGGTATAATAGTTGTGTATAACAACAATCAAGAGAATACCAAGGTGACAAAAAACGAAAACGAAACTGTAAAGCTACCAAAATTTATAAAACTAGGGCAAAATAAGAATATTTGGATTATTTTTATATAAATACCCGTGAAACAGTTTTAGGAGAAAAACATCATGTGTTCCGGAAGGGTAAGCTTTATCGATGACATTCGTCATGACAATCTCGGTCAGGCCTAAATAACTGTACGTCCTCAAAGCGGGAATTAGTGTTAATGTAACACCAGCTTTGAATAACGGTCCATTCAGAAACAGACGTCTATACCAGGAGTACGGAAACAACTGAATACATCATATGGTTAACCAATAATTGGCCTAAAGAATACTATGCTAAATGAAATAATCAAATAAACCATTTCAATAAGATGAACGCAAAGAAAGAAAAGAAAACGAAATGATCGAATGTAAAGCCATGTCTGCGATAGGGTCCCAACTACAAAATTACTTATCACAAAATGTACATGCAATGAACAGACTTATTACATCCGGTCTTTATATCGCTTTACATTATTACAAGCTCAAACTGTATTAATATCGATGCTAAAGTAAACAATTGGTGCTGCCTTATCGATTAGCAACTGGTTGGTGAGAAGATGTATTCTTGTTAAATTTGAGGGAGAATAGTTTCGTCCAATGGGCCCAACCCTACAGATATAAACGTGCTAAAGAACCCCATTTCTGTTGACTGAATTCTAATGCGTCGACTTCGTTGTTTTGATAACGTTGATCCTGCTGTATACAATTTTATGTCTGTTGGTCCACATTTCACAGAAATGAGGTCAGTACAGTGTATACGTTTCATTCGAAATACTTATTTTGTGTTCCAATTTCAGCACTTTATCTATTGTGTCACATGATATGTTTGCCATGTGTTCATTGGTGGGTACCACTCAAGAGGGGTTAAATCTCCGTGGTCTTCATGGTTTTTAGAGACTTTGTTTCTCTTGGCACGCCATTTATATAACCAGTTTGAGTATAACAGTTTCTGGAATGGGTGACTTCAGTACATTCAGTAAATTGTGTTTCCGGTATTAATTGACTATATGAATCGTAAAACTTTGTTCTTTAAAGGGCTTTAGCGATTTAGATTAGTGTTATATATATAGATACAACCTAATGGAGTACGTGTATTTCAATTTTCGTCTGCTCTTTGGTATCTGCTCAACAAAAGGGTAATCTTTCCAAAACTCCATTTTATTATACGCATTGTGATGCAGACATTAATTGCTTTACCACGACGTTTGCTCACAGATGGTGGTAGGTTTGTTTGTTCGGGGTTAAACATCCAAACATTAGACAGGATAGTGACTCTCCCTGCATCACACTATACCAGGAACCATAAGTCCACCATCTCACCCCTGTCCAGGAGACAATCTAACCGGATGATGACATTGGTTTCTGTATTTCTAGGTTTCTCTTGTAGATTGTCGTTGATTCTCCCAGTTACTCTCACTTTTAAAGTAATTTTCAAGTATAATTTTTATCATAAAAATATGTCAACCTTCACATAACGGGATGTGTATGTAGGTTTCAGGTATATTCAGACAGTTTTCGGTGTATTATCGAAAATATGCCCTAGGCTGAAAAGACGTTAGCATTGCCTTTATAACATGAGTACCAGTTATGACATCTCAGCGCGTACTAATTGTTGTTCTTAGATCAATGCTAAAATCCTTTCTACATTTACGTAGAGACAATTAGACGGTTGCCACACGTGGTTTATGATAAGCTTAGCCTTCCATTTGTACCTCGATTTGCCTTTGGATTTTGTTGGGGTCTATGCTATCGCTCTTTTTTATTTCATGTCATGTTCGAACCATTTTTTGTTGAGGGTTAGGATTAGAGTATTCTCCGGTTGTTCCCGTTGTTGCCTGAATGTATATACGACAGTTACAGATGCAGCCACATCAAATGCAGTTGAAACCTGGCAAACATAACAAGACAAGCTCACGCTACAACAGCACTACCATACATAAATATTTACATTTCCACTGCACAGAGCCTAGATGTTTCTACTGAGCCCAGTGTATATTAAATCCGTATAACATACATTGGGCCATTGTGACGTCATAACTGTAACGTTGGAGATTGCACTGCTCGACTGTCAACTGGTGACTGTTCTCTGTATGGATTTACCCTGACGTTGAAACGTGTTCAGACTTATATTATGTCTTTATTTCTGCGTGAACTGTAATTTGGTTGATCAACATAAAATGTAAATATAAGTATTTGTTGTCATATTTTTGACATGCATTGGTGTGTAACATACATTAGCGCGCACCATGTAAAATATGTAGATGAGCCAATGTATGTTACACACCTATGCATGTCAAAAATATGACAACCAATCCTTAAATACTGTATAAACTCATGTCACTACAACTCAAAACTCGCTGACGAAGTCTAGTAGGGACTTTCAAGGTACTCTCATATTTTAAGATATGGATAATATATAAAGTGTATACTTCGACAGTATTGGGCGTTTTAGCAATACTCTGTGTACATAACAAAGGGAAATAAAAAACAGAATAATATGTGTTTTCTTTTGTTTATTTGTAACATTTCTTTATAACATATTTTCTCTGAAATGTGACCAGCACATACAATATAACATGGATAACGTGTGTCAAATCAACATAAACAAGACATCAATTACACCGTTAATGTCGTGAACGCAACGACATACCAATACAACCGAGTTGTTCAAATATGTATCTGTTAGTCTGCATCGTTATTTAATTTGAGAAAGCTCAAGTGTAAGTATAATGATGCCGATTACTTTGTTTAAAAAAATATAGCTTTTGCTCTATACATTTTAACATTTATTTAAATAGGCCACCATTAAATACTTGAACAACTGGAACATCTATACACGGTAGATTTCTTGTCATTTACAATTGCACAAAACTTGTTAGTGCAAGTATAATGTTCCAATACACTATATCGCTTAAACAGCATTTCAAATCGAAACCACTAAAATGTAAACCAGTGGAACACATCAGATCTAAAAATAATTAAATTGAACAAATAAGAATGTAACTAGATCGTTAGCGTTCGTTGTATCCGATTGATAAAGGGGCTTTAGCTTATTGCATTTTTCCGTTATTTTAAGCAATGAGGAAAACACTCAACATTTATTTACAATTTCATCCAATCAAGCCAACCTCAAATAAATTAACGCAAACTTATATACTTTGTTTAACATAGTTTTATCGATGTTGTATTCATAATAACTAGTTTAACATAAAGCACGTGTTTAGGGATGCAGCCTTATCACTTGAAAATATAAATCGCAAGAACTTGTGTTCATTTTGACGCTGACAGTTAAACTTGCCGATAACCTTACTAATCACTAGTACTCATTATTGCTATGTTCTTGCGCAACCTATAAAAGACATTTATTTTGAAAACATGTTAAAGATAGAAACAGCTATAATAATAACAAGTACTAATTGTAATGTGGGACCATTACAGCAGTCCCCCAAACCCCCGCAATTATGTTTGCAGTGCGGAAATAGACTTACATATGAAAGTTGAGCAAAATCGACCAATATTTAATTTCGACCAATCAGAGGCCGTGGCGGCTATCTTTGTTGACCGATCGGAAAATGTTATTTGCAGACACCCTGACCATGATAAACACTTGTGTTAAGTTTCATCAAGTTCCGTCCAACAGTTTTCGAGAAATGTGACGGAAACTTTTTGTTTGGGGAACTTAAAAAATTTAAAATTAAGTCAATATCATTACATTCTGTAATGTTATATATAAATATTATTATACTGATTGCAAAAATGAACTTAAATTGCATTAAGCCAACCACCGGCCCGCAGTGATGGCATAACGTGATACATGTTGGTGGATACTGACGCAGTATACGAGAGCTCCAATGCATATAAACTTAAATGTGTCATGTTTTGTGTCTATTCCGTCTTTTCGTATTGCAGAGTTATCTGCTCTTGTGAGCAGGTATTGATTGTTACGTCATTTGTTTGTGAGAGTAACGTCATACATTTTTGAGAAAACGACGTAATTTTCTCAGACAAAACTAAAGACACTACAATCAATACCTGCTCACAAGAGCAGATAACTCTACAATACGAAAAGACGGAATACTACACCTGACGGCCTTGTCATATTTACATTTTACTATCAACAAATCTATGATTCCTCATCTAATTTTAACACTAAATAATGCAAGCAATAGCAGATTTTGAACCATTTTGAAATAAATATATGAACGATAATATCTCTGAACACAATATAAAAAATAGTATTATACAAGGTTGACTTTAAAATATAATTCATCATTTCAAAATAATTCATATATATATAATCATTTCGACGAGGTAGTAGGTATGTTATTTTGTAATTGTAGAGCATCAATATGAAATCAGGTTTACTATATCATGGAGAATATATACTCCGTTCTAATTATGCAATAACATTTTAATCGTTAGTGTAATTGCACTAAGAATTAAATTATAACACATCTTATCATCTATAGGTACGTCACTTACATAAGTGAATAATCACGAGTTGCATATAATGTTTCTCCCATACACGTTATTTCACACTGTAAAATTATCACAAATATTCGGAAATATTGAATTGTTTGGGAGCTATAAACCCATAAAATGTTTGAGTGTACTAAACCACATAGAAGTTATGTGATTATTAAAACCAAAATTAATTATGGGAGTGATGGAACCCATATAACTTAAAGGAATGTTGTATCCTATAGCAAGTATGGGAGTGATGAGTGATAAAGGGCTTATTGGAGTTATGAAACCTTTAAGTAAAATCACAGTGATGGCACCTGAAGAAAACGTGGTCGAGACAGTAATAACTCCTTAATTCGAGCTCTGTTCAGTCAAGATATATTTGTCAGTATTGGATCTGAATTATCTGTTCAATTAAAATCCCAATTACCTGGATCCTACTTAGTTAACAATTCCACACGACCTAATACGACTCCTCCGCATCAAGGCCACTCTGGTCTCTGTGGAGTATAGCATTCAGAAGATAGACAGATAGTCGATAGATAGATACGTATATGAACTGTCCTATCAGTGATAATGTCCCCTTATATGGAAGTCTGTGTATGGTTGACGAGTCATGGTAGGGTCTGTATAGTTATCCATAGCACTGTCGACCTGTAGGCCGTGATTAGTGTAACCATACACCGGATACCACTTCTGTGTCTGCGGCGAGGAAACGTGGGAATGATGCGCTGCCGGTGTCTTCGCACGTCCATCACGTGACTGAGTGGATGGTGACGGGGTGACTTTGGGTAAATATGGATTGTTAGACATGGCAGGTGTAGGCGCTGGTGTACGCTGGGTCCTGCCGTTATACATGTCCTGTCAACAAATAAACAAATAATGAAGTGGAATAAAACATAAAAGGTATTTACTTTACCTCCAAACGAACATACATGTTTCGATCAATAAAACCTCGACACCGAGGCAAAAATGTCTTAGACGTAAAATAAGGCTTGAATATTAAATCAAATCCGATTCCTTAATGTGATATAACGTATAAACAGAAGAAAAAGCAATGCGTTTGGATGGTCCCTTATTGTTCCTGAATATTTACCTAATTCTGTTCCGGACATTTTCTCCGTACTGCTGACATTATCATTTACGATACTAATGCGTAAATAAATAGGAATCGTTAGTCAGCTCTAATAATGTTTGAATTAGTGAATATATGTATAAGTAGGTTGCTAGCTTACCGGTATATAGGTGCTGTCAACAGAAGGGGAGGCAGAACCCCCACGTGGAGATTTTTTCCGGTTCACCGTCCGACAAATTAGACACACTGCGACAGCTATGAGGATGATGAACAACAATCCTGCCACGCCCACCGATACACCAATAATCAACATCTCCATAAGTTCGTCTGAAACAAAATAGCGGCAATTATTTAAATGTGACATTGTTAGGTTTTCGTCGTGAGCTAGTATGTGTACTGGAGCACCTAATTGTTTTTATTTTACAAATCTTTCTTCGATATTTTTTTTTAACAAAAGTAAGTGTTTACCCATGAGAACTCGCATATTGGTGTTACATTTATTCAGGTATGAACGCAAATGGGTAAGATCCATATTGCATAAAGCCTATTTAATCTTCAGAATAAATATTGCTAGCACAGCTTCGATTATATATATTGCATGAATGTTAAAAGGCTGCGTTCAATATGTATATTTACATTCAACATTGATTGTTATTTGGGATTTAAATATGTTTTACTCAAATTTTGCGATATTTCAGTTTCTATAACGTTCGTGCTGATAACTATTTGTAAATCTTGTAACACCACTGTATTTGTCGGTCTCGTGTTGCAGACAATTAAAAAAATGAAAATGATATCCAGATAAAACCCCATAAATATATCGTGTATATAGTAAGAATGTGTAAAAATATAAAACTACTGCCAGACATTTAAAAAGGAATTAAACATAATTAAGACCTACCAGACATCTTTTTAATTCTACTTTCTGTAAGTTATGTTATAAAAGAGAAAAAAGCTATGGATTGCAGCATGGTACCATGGTAACCGGAAGTACCAACCTGCTGTCGTTGTTGATCCTGGAGTAGTGGTGTTTGTTGAAGTTGTTAGAGAGACACTCGTTGTTGGGTTTGAAGTTGGTGTTGTAGTACTGGTTGGGGAGGAAGAGGTGCTTCGATTTGTAGTTGTTTTAGTTGGAGTTGTCGGAATGGCTGTTATAGTCAGAGTGGTAGATGTGGATGGATTTGTAGTTGTGGTTGGAGAAGTTGGAGTTGTTTGAGTGGCAGTTGTGGGTGGAGTGGTAGTTGTAGTTGTTGGAGTGGTAGTTGTAGTTGTTGGAGTGGTAGTTGTCGTGGTTGGAGGGGTAGTTGTCGTGGTTGGAGTGGTAGTTGTCGTGGGTGGAGTGGTAGTTGTAGTTGTTGGAGTGATAGTTGTAGTTGTTGGAGTGGTAGTTGTCGTGGTTGGAGGGGTAGTTGTCGTGGTTGGAGTGGTAGTTGTCGTGGGTGGAGTGGTAGTTGTAGTTGTTGGAGTGATAGTTGTAGTTGTTGGAGTGGTAGTTGTCGTGGTTTGAGTGGTAGTTGTCGTGGTTGGGGTGGTAGTTGTCGTGGTTGGGGTGGTAGTTGTCGTGGTTGGGGTGGTAGTTGTCGTGGTTGGAGTGGTAGTTGTCGGGGTTGGAGTGGTAGTTGTCGTGGTTGGAGTGGTAGGTGTCGTGGTTGGAGTGGTAGTTGTCGTGGTTGGGGTGGTAGTTGTCGTGGTTGGGGTGGTAGTTGTCGTGGTTGGAGTGGTAGTTGTCGTGGGTGGAGTGGTAGTTGTAGTTGTTGGAGTGGTAGTTGTAGTTGTTGGTGTTGATGTTGTGGTCGTCACTGCGCAAGTCCCACAACAAGTCTGCAAAGAGGAAGCACTGTAAAATGGACAGTTTGTCGCGTTACACTGTGAGCTCCTGTCCCCGTATTCACATCCTGTAAAGGAAAGAAAGAAAAACAATGTATTTTTGTTTTTAATGATTGAACCAGCGTCCGATAGTATCTAAGCAATCATACAGACCCAATTGAGTTTTTGACGGTAAACCTAATTTATGTCAGGAGTATCCTCACTGAGAAGATATGTAAACGGACAAAGCAATTCATAATGTACATAAAGTTTTACCTGGAATTCCTGTGTAGAGGGCGCCACATGTACTACAGCAGTAGCTATACCAGCCCGTGGTGTTACAGTTGTACGCATTTAGCTGAACAACGCTAGCGCATGTATGGCCAGAGGAGACCACACCAGCCTGGTCTCCGAACGGACAAGTGTCTGTAATAAACAACGTACACCGTGCATATTATAATGGAGAAATTATTTTGATTAGCAGAATTTCAAACGACGCTGTAATCAGTACCGTATCCATCGATATATGTTCTTACAAAAGATGTAATGTCTCATACAATTGAATTAGACATGACCAGCATTTAGTTTATACAAAACTTGTACCTGTAGTTAACTATTAGATTTAAGTTTTATCTTTATGAAATGTATAGCGTATAATCGCGATGCATGCCCAACCAATATTGCATGCATGATAATCACAACAGAGGGAGGCAATCCTTACAAAAAAAACGCATTAATATTTAAATAAAGGGAGACAATTCTTTTATAATGTACATTGTACATATAATACGAACAAAATAGAAATACTTCTTGTAAGAGTAACTTTATATATTCACTTTTTAAGAAAATCAGGAATGCATTTCAATGTTTTATACGAAGCCAACTTTTGTTATTGAAAGATATACTGCTTTTGGAACTTACCTGATACGCTCGGTGCGGACGCGTTCGATACGCATTCCCCTCTGACACACCACTGAAATATAAAACATGATTAACTGAATATAGCCCGTAAATATGAATATGTTATTTGATTTTCCACATCGGGTCTTTACAGCTCGTTTGCTAGTAGAAATTCAAGTTTTAATGAACATACAGAGTGTATTTAGATACTTCAAATCAGAGGCTCTTTGAGACATCAGAGGCTCTTTTATAACAGAGCAACTGTGTCATCGCAAACATTAAATAATACATAAAATAGAATAATATTTACCTTGTTTTGTCCACATGAGGTACCGTCAGCGGGCACGTGCTCGGAGCAGAAGTCTGAGCCGTCGGCCTTGGAGCAATACATCCTGTTACATATACTGGTGTAGTCCTGGTAGTAGAATCCCTGTGAGAATAAAATTGTTTTTTTAATAAATTTAACTAAACAATTGATGATCATAATATTATTATTAGCAATGAAATATTTCGTGTGGAAGTGCTAGAGGTAATGATAGTAGAAAACAGTATAAACAAAAAATTGCAAAAAAGTACAATTTGAATATGTTTTTTGTCAATTTTACTATGAAATCTAATTTCTGTACTACATTTACATGTACAACATGTGAGATTGACATTAGACATACGTTTTCTGTGCCACGAATACATTTGTCTTGAATTTGACGATTAACTCCCTTGTACATGTATACATTGTGATGGCCATATGTACTTAGCCTGCAGACGTATAAGTACTAACGTTGTGGAGTTATATTTGTATATGGGGAAAACTATTCTCGATATTCAGGGGTTATGCTCACTTTCGATCTCTGCACCCCTAGAATATGTCAGGCAAAATTGAGGGCACGAAGATAGCTGTTTGATTGGTCTGACCAATCGCTAGGCTGTTACCCGTCCTTTGAAGATTACAAAGGAGAGACGCCCAACTTCAAAGCCTGTAATTTTTTATCGTTACATGACCGCGAGATTCTTTTGATGTACATCAAAGGATCGAGCTAGTCTTCTTATCTCATCAACAAGGTGGCACACACCGAGCCTTCAATTTTGCTATGACATATTCCAGTGGTGTAGAGAGCGAAAGTGAGCGTAACCCCTGGATATCGAGGATGGGGGAAAAATATTCCCTCATCCTGACAGAGTATTACAAAAGTATATTTATAGAATTATGGTGACACCTACCCTACACAAATAGGAATTGTCACCAACTATGTGTCTACATTGGGCATCTGCGTCGAACATCTGGCCAGCAATCTCTTGGTCATATGGAGTCAAGGCCGTTGGGTCAAAATTTGAACTCAAAGAGGTCAAACAATTTGATCCAATACTGAAATAGTAAGCATTGTATTGTAATACTATTGACTAACACTATATACTGCTTAATATATATAGCAAGTAAGTTTATAACGTTATTTGGTATATAAGCCACACTTTTTTGAGACATTTTTTGTTTTCAAGAATTGAACTTATTTGGCAAGTTTTAACTGTTCAAGTTAATGGTCATGGATTTTATAATATTGCATAACATTAAATGATCGTTGGTTCAATAGCAACCACGAAAATGAATACAACGAATTTGAATGGTATACGTGTCTATTGTTTGTAATATAGGATATCTATAAAACGATCTAAATAGCTTCAAACCATGACGGAAAGTACCCACCAACATTTCGTGTTATACACTACAGTTTGGGTATTTTTAGAAAAGTATACTGGCTAATAAATGGAAGCGGACATACAAAAAATGTATTTCAATTCATTTTATTGGATAACGTCTTCTATTCCGTCTTTGCCTATTGCAGAGTTATCTTCTCTTGTGAGCAGGTATTGATTGTTACGTCATTGGTTTGTGTGAAAAAACTACGTCGTTTTCTCAAATATTGATGACGTTGCTCTCACAAACCAATGACGTAACAATCAATACCTGCTCACAAGAGAAGATAACTCTGCAATACGCAAAGACGGAATAACGGAATATATCAAGTTCTGAAATATTTTCCTTCGAAGATAGCTCTAGTGCTTAAGTGCTTTACATGAATATCAAATGAACCTATATGTGATTATTTATAAAACAATATTGTAATAAGTAATGAATTACATCTTGTCAATTTTATACAGAATAGTTAATTACCTGTTTAATGAATTGATCCTATTTTCAAAACTGGTGACACTACAGGAGGAGAATTGCCAGGGATGGGTCGCGGTAGCTCCAGTCTGAATGAGACTAGTGGCAGCCATAATATAGCCGTCATTAAAGGAACATGTGTTTCCTTCACCGTCATGTGATGCGCCCAGGCTAAAACGGAAACAGTTACCCTTAAATATAATATCAGATTTATCCGACCATTGATGCATCGCTATATGCTGTTTTGTTTGCAAATATAAACATAAGAAGTATCAACAAAACCATAATTCGAACTTAGAATCGACAAAACCAGGGTTCAATATTGTTTATTGAACGATTTACCAGATTTGCAAAATTCTGACAACGGTTATTTAAAAGTATATAGATTTCAACTGATGTAAAATTCATTCAAGCAAATGTTTTACCTTTCCTTAATTTTTCCTTTACTTTATTGATATATGCTTTAATATGTTATTTGGGTTGAGGAAAAATCTCTGTCTGTCAAACAAATTAGGAAAATCCCAAGTTTGAGAACTTTTAAAAAACTAAGCAATAATAGGGAAGCCAAATAGCATACAAGACAGGTCAAGAATTTGTGTGTGTGTTTTTATGGGATATAATAATAAATAAAAATGTGATCAGAAAATCGGGATATAAAATAGTCAGAGTTACACGTAACTCGATTCAAAACTACAACATTCCAACATACATGTATATGGACCCATAATAATAATAATAATAATAGGAACGAAGATAATGCAAAAAAGGAAATCAACATATATCTAAGTTACAGCGGGAGTCATGTAATCTGTATAAACCGATATAAAATTGTATGAAATAAGAAAGCTGAACACTTACTTATGACCAAGTTCGTGGGCTGCAATTGTCATCATCCCGAAATCAAACAGATCCTCAGCAACTGACTGCTTAGTCGATCCACATATTCCATTTAAATAGGCTAACCCTGTTAATGAATAATAAGATAATATTTTTTATTTATCACATACTGTTATCCAGTGAACATACCCATGTCATATTTATTTTGCATATTTACCCATGTTATATGACCTATCAGTCCTGTGATTGGTTTTAAGTTTCAATTGTTTCAACTGTGACGTCCCGCCTAGGACAAGTATAGTGTACATGACGTCACAGACTTACGCGCTTGTGTCAAAATGGCGGCCTCTTACATTTCAAGGTTGCATGGAAATGATTATTTTACACGAATAATTGCCACAAATCTTCATTATGTGATAAAAAGAGGCGTTACACTCGTTTCCATTTCATATGAGATTTATGAAACATGTCGCGATTTTTTCATCTTAACTCGCCAGAAGCTCGCTTAATTGAAAAGTTCTTGGATTCGTTTCATAAATCTCATATGAAATGGAAACTCATGTTAGATCCTATATATTGTACTTATATGGCTTAATTGAGTTATATATTCCATTTATAATCCCTGTAAACAGATACTTAGATAACCGTTACTTAATCTACGTCTGTTATATATAGAAACACCAGTTAATTGATTTATACTTTCAATCTAAAAAGACTTGTCCTGCAGACAAATAAATAGATAACTGTTATCTTAAAACCATTTTACTAATGCTGTTGCTTTGACTAATATATTCTATACAAATAATTAGGTCATTTAAGTAACAAATTAGTTGTTTGAATAAATTCGTTTTCTGTTAACTACATATACAATTCTTGTACATGCTGTATAAATACTGGATACGAAACTGTTCACATGTATTCCGTCTTTGCGTATTGCAGAGTTATCTTCTCTTATGAACAGGTATTGACTGCTACGTCATTTGTTTGTGAGAGTAACGTCATCAATTTTTGAGAAAACGACGTAATTTTCTCACACAAACCAATGACGTAACAATCAATACCTGCTCACAAGAGAAGATAACGATAACTCTGCAATACGCAAAGACGGAATATGACAAACCTTATGAAGAATGAAAAGGGGAAGTGTGAAAGTTTACTTTATTTGATATGTACTCCAAATAGTCCAAGATGTACAAGAGCGATTACTAGTTTATAACCTCTATATTTTATTTTATGTTTTCGGTACTACTACACGGACATGACTAGAGATAGACGTAACTAACACACAGGCTTCTATTATAAAAATGGACATAAAGATATCTCTGATTTTGTATTCCTGACGAACCTCTCATATATAATGACGAAGAAGTCATTTTCCCTTTTGACATGAACATTTTAAAACACAGAATCATAGTTTGATAGTTTTTTTTCTTTCTGATAACTTTTGATAACTTACCAGCTACACCACCATCGCCTTCGTTTGTGAAATCGTATCTGGTTAAATAAAGAAAAAAAATGGAAATTCTTTGTAATGAGTAAATCTGGAAAAACATACACCGTTTTACAACAGTGTTAACACTCAAAACAAATCAAACTTCATATCAACACGAACAGACAACGAAAGGGAACGAATAATTTATCAAGCTGTAAACAATCTGAAACTGTTTTACTGAGTCATAAAAAATGGACCACATGTGGTTCCGGACACTCACTTAGTGAACATCATCGCATGATCATGACTCGGGAGACCGGAAGTAGCTTGTTCCCATGTCCGGAATTTAGTCAAGGCAGTGTTAATGTTCACAGCAAACTTGGAGCCAACAGCTATTCTGTCTTCTGTCCAAGTTGATGCGGCAAAGCTCTGTTTGAAATATACAACGATACTTACTCATTTAGTAAGTATTAGATTTACATCAACATACGTTTTCTATATGCATGTGGACTACTCATAATTGTATTGTGTGTACTGCTCTGGGTGCTCAAAACTAAATGTGATATATCGAAATACGGAAAATCGGGCAAACCAATTATTCGCTAGGAAACTAATATCTGATATTTGCTTTCGGTCTCGTAACACCAGACTTAAACGTTTCAAATTTCAATTTTGGTTTATACGTTGTATGACACTACATTTGTATTGTCAAAATCAAGAAATAACTGAGATGGCCTTAAGACACAGAAATGTATACTAAGTCTAAATCAATTCAAATTTACATGAAATTTTAATACCAATTTCCAAGCTATACTTTTATGTGCATTTGTAGTTAATGGTTTTGTCTCTTTTTCGCTTAAATTCTATCTTTGAGTCTGACATTATTCCACTGATGAATCTGAATTGGAAATATGGTCATATGGTTCCGTAAGTATAATCATTGTCTGGCTTTTGGCATTAACAAAATATTTTTTAAATTGGTACTTTCTTCCGTTGTTTGTATCTAGAGATTATTTCACTTCAAAAGTCATATACTTACATCTGCTATATATATTCCAGCGAAAACTACCCCCATGGATATTGTAGGAGACACGATGCTCTTGTATCGAACATCAATCTGAAATAAGGATGTCAACATATACAATCCGTCTATCGTTGCTCTTAACACCCCTACAATCCAATGGTATATAACTAATGCACCCCGTATTTTTTAATGTCGACACAAAGAAAATCGATATTCATATGAACGCCGATATCCAATGTTATCCTTTATCATATGAACCCCCTTATCCAACGGTAGCATTAATCATATGAACCCCGATATGCAGTTGTATCAGTATTCATATGAACCCCGCCATCCAATGTTATCATGTATAACATTATTCATATACAACCTGTTATTCAGCTGTTATAACGTTATTGTATCCTTACACTTTGATAATGCTTCGTACAGTAATGTATGCTTACCGCATTCATAACAAAGGCGTAGAACTGACGGACGGACGCTTTGGCTTCAACGTCTTTCTCAGGTGTTGTTGTTGCTGTACTCTCATCGTACCAACTATAAAAGTAACAATATTGTGTTACACGCAAACATACGTCTTTGATAGAAATTACTGTAAAACTTCATGATTCAACATCACCTCCTCTCTCCCTAAGAGCTGTAGCAAAAACAAACGTTATAAATCAGTGTTTGCCAGTAACTAAAGTGTGCTGACATGCGTTATTGACTTGGGTATGAAAAACTGCAACACTCGTACATGTAGTATAAATTGGTGCGTTTTGTCTGAATAATAGATTATCTTATCTCAATCGAGCACATCTTAAAATACCTGATTGCTATGCTTGAAAAACGATCCAAATGTGCAAAACATGTAATCAGTATCAAAAAGCCGTTCTAGAAAATATCTTATTTAACAGAAAGGTAGTTAAAGCATCAATGTCACACGTATCCTTGTAGATGGTATTGATTCCTACATAGTTTACATGAAGTGATAGAAGTACAAATTTATTATAGAGTGTACCCCAAATTGTAAATTTGTAAAATTATGCAGAATTTGGTATGCACCTTTCCAATATTCACAAATATGGCTGTATTTACAAATTGTTTCGGTACACATAATTATCAGACATCGATTTTTCATTATGGTGACAAAATGATGAGACGTAAATAATGCAGTAGATATTTTAATTCTGCATCGGCCAACTACTAACAAGTCCTGCCTTACTTCATATTTCTTGTTGATTGGTAGGTTACAAAATGTACAAGTCAGCGAAAGGGAATTTGTGTATGCTTGGGTTAGAAAAAATAATATATGTATATATATAATGGTTTATTTGGTGACCTGGTGGACTTCATCAAAAGGGTACATGTATTTAACTTATAAGGGTGAATAGTGTAAACTGATCCCTGGTATTTATCTATTCATGCTTCTGTGTTCTTTGGAATACAACTTATCAAGGAGAAAATGTATTGATAAAGTATTCCTCCTCGCGTATATTATTGAATATTTATATATTAAAGCTTATTTGATGGTACTTTTGGGGTCAGTTTAGTTAATTCCTTGTAAAAACTAGGAGGCGTTTCCTTAATAGGATACCAGGGCATGGCTGAATGTAGAGTTCACGACTGGTCAAGTAGTCTATTAAAATGTTTATGTGTGCCATAAAAAACGAATGTTTCAAGTTTTAAAACAGATTGATTTCCTTTGAATGACTCAAAAATCGAAAAGGATCAAATATATGTTATTTTAACACATACACGGCTTTCCGTAGTAGGTAATAAATACTAATAAGATAGACTAAAATAATGTCCCTCTCTCACATTGTACGATTGTGCTTACATATTTCACTAGTATGGCCAATATACTTATTTCTAATGTGTTAACGATTCAATAACCCAAGCAACACTTAAACCTTGACAAGTCTAAAGTGATGTTTAGTCATTCATTTTCCCCGTTTATTCTGCTTAGTACCAAATTGGTTTAACTATCCAATTAAAATAGGGTAAATAATTACTTAACCATACTACTCATGTGATGACTAGAGAGTAATTATAGAGAGTACATCATATTACAATAAAGGCACAAACAGGTTTATTTCTATATACATGTACTACGGCTATTAAAATACATTATTCAAGCATATTTTATAAGTTAAGGATAAATCGAATTTAAAGTTATGCAATTCAAAAGTCAAGAAACTTTCTGATTATTATAATAAGATAAGGAACTAGGAGAAGCATTTTTCTTAAATGTATGAACATTTGAAATGTATCATTGTATATCCTAGTCCAAGAAGAAAAAAAGAACTAGGAGAGGCATTAATCTTTAATTGATGGATATTTAAATGTTTCATTTTATATCCTGGTCAGAAAAGAAAGATTGTGAAACGTGTTTGCCAGCCAGTAAGATGATTAAATAAAACTTCGTGAATTCGTGATATCATCACCACTCCTCATAATGCAGATCCTATACATGCTATCGATAGATACACATATTGGATTGTGTGTACTGAGTTCACCATTCAAGTCTACTTAGAATTGCGTCAATTAATTCCTTTTGAGAACTATAGAGGCATGTCGTATTACCTTGTATGAAATTACAATATTCATATCACGCGTGAATACATGAGAAAAGTTTATGAACTGTGATCGTCACCTTGATACCGGTATTATCGAGTGTACCTGTTTACAGAGGCAGACGGATAACCGACATCACGATTCTTTTACAGGCCGTTATAAAAAGAAGAAGGATACGTGCATATCCTGGTAGTGTGGTGTTACATAACAGTGCGTCATCGTCAAATCATTAGGTACTAAACGATAAGGAAGTAATTAAACAGTAATGTATAAGCCCAGTGACAGCCCTTTTTATTATGTTTCCCCTTCAAATGAAGGGAGACATAGTGTATTAGTACTGGTTCTTCTTCTTTTTGTTCTTTTTCTGATTCTTCTAATCGCAAATTGTCCGGGCCTTAACTTTTAAACCGTTAAAGATATCTTGACGAAATTTTAGGTATTCATGCATCATCAACAGAAGGTGTGCAGTGCACTAGAATTAAGTCAATGTCATCTTCACCGCAAGGTCAAAGGTCAAATAAGTGCAACATTTTCAATAAATTCTTGTCCGGCCCGTAAATTTTAAACCGTTAAAGATATCTTGATGAAGTATACCTGCATCACTCACACTAGGAGTGCAGGGCACTATAATTTGGTCTCGTGCTTCACTATATACAAAGTTATTGCCCTTTGTTTATTTTTAATACCGAAGTTTATCCGGAGCATAAGTTCCATGTTATTTCACCTACGTTGACCAAACTTACCATATATATGTATCTTGGGAAGGTGGAATATCTCGTACTTAAATCAGGTTTTGTGCCACACTATATAGAGAGTTATGGCCCTTGTTTATTTTTAATACCGAAGTTTGTCCACGGCATAACTTCCATGTTATTTCACCTACGTTGACCAAACTTGCTATAGTGTTAATGTATCTTGGGAAGTAGGAGTGTCGCATTCTAAATTCGGGTATCGTGCCCCACTTTATAAAGAGATATGGCCCTTTGTAAAAAAAAAAAAATACTGATGTTTGTCTATTGGCTTATAAGGGGAGACATATCTTTTTGTTCACAAAAACAAAATTCTAGTTATGGTTTGTTTACATATACCTGGACACATTGTAGATCAAGGGAGGGTAGATTCATTGTTGTAGATTCATTGTTGTATGTTTTTTGTGCTTTTACATCAATTAAAATATGTTAACTAGCCATTAATATACACAGGAAATATTGTTTACATATATTTATTATGTATAATACCGGATTTCACACTTACTATTGATAAACTGAGTAATCTGTGGCGATCAGCAGCTCCACCTGGTTGGCAGTTATCGCCCTTTTGTTTCTAACGTGACCTCCTAGATTGTGGTCAGACTTTCGTCTCATATTCTGTAGTCCAGTTCGGTCATCTGTTGTATAAAACCGGATAATTAAATAAAACACATACACTTATTATATAGTACCGATTGTCGCCGCATATTTGATTACACACGTGATGATCTACACTGGGGCCATATAATTGGTTATAGATAGTTCTGTTTATGACAGAGCAGTGTGTACTGGTATGAACGTGGAAAGCCGAGTTATCGTACGTCAGGCCGAATATTTAGAAGTGATATTAGCATCCCTCTATAAATTGATTATTTACAAAATATTTAAAGACCCCGTACGTATTTGTGAGGATGGAGGATGACTTGCGATTATTGTATTACCTGATTGCTTTCTTTTGTTATCATTTCGTGACGACTAAGAAATCTGATACTGACCTTGCGTGTCTGTTAAAACTTTGGTATATTTATAATATTTGGCTATATTTGATTGAAGGGTTAAGCGTCGGTATCAATATTTGGACAACATGTTAACAATGTTTGATCAGTTACCGAACTAAAAACAGACACAGGTAACTCTGCTGTCCTATAAAATGGCACAGAGGTTGTGTTGATTAAGAAGGGAACCACCATTTCACAAATTTCTCTTGTTATGTAAACGGTTTCCAAACTATTTCCGGTGTCTTATTTCATCCCAATTTGTAAAATAATGTGCTTGTTTCATCGTTCCAATGCCCAGGTGGGTAAATGCAGTTTATCCTAATATTTACTTTAAATCTGAATATTTATTGTATCATGTTCAACAGGGAAAACATAATTATTCCCTATGGACGAATACAATATATGAGCGTTTTTGATTCACTAAACCCCTATACATTATACATACTGTAATGGACAAGACGGTCGGATTCGAATCACACATTGCTCTTTTGTATACGGTATATAAATTAAATACCATGTTTAAGAAGTAATATAAATGCATTACGTGTTAAAACTGGAAAGAAAATATGTACATTTGGATCAGAAGGAACACGTTTGCGTTTTATCAAAACCTTTCGACCACATTCAAAATAACCAGCTGAAATAGAGTGCCATGCATCTAAAGAAGTAACCGATATCATCTAGAATGTACTCCTATGTACCAAGGCTGTGTTTGTCTTACCAATGCGGTAATCAACCATAGATTACATAACCTATGTATTTATATTTTATCTATGGACATTTCATAGCATACCAATACAAGTAATAATGACAGTCAGAAGCTAGTCTGATTAACAATAGATATTTCTTACACTCTTTATGGACAGTTGGCCTAGAATATCATTGTAATTAAACGCACTTTAAACCCAATCGAATCATTCAATTAATATGGGTTTATAACAGAAATTCAACTTGATTAAGTAGTCATCCTTCCGTGGCGTCTTATTATGTACCGTTTATATTAGAATATTTATTAAATAAAATCAACCTTTAGAATATCTTATTTAAATGTATATGATAATCAGCTTTATTATAAAATGACAAAGATTTTTAACGTTTGAATGCTCTAAACGTCTACAGCAAACACGATAGGGACATTTTAATTTCCTAACCAATTCTTAGCTCGTGCATTGAAAACCAAACAAACTATCACATTAAAGAGTAAATAAAACGCGCCGCATTCAATAATTGAAGTAAATAAATGCCCTTACTTTAAATTATCTACAATAACATAAGTTGATGAATATACCATTTACTATCTCACGAACTTAATTTGAGAATAAGCAATCGAGCGTGATATGAATAATGATCGTATCTGGTCTATAAATTACAGTCATTTTTCTGTTTGTTTACAGAAGACATTTGTAAACTAGATAAGTTGAATGTGTATATACATACACACACAATAAACAATGTTTTGTTGATGACAGAAAAATTTCATTTAATAGCAGGTCGCGAGTGAAGTGGAAGAATTTATTCGAAATGGTCGAACCAATGGGGCAGTACAGGACTTGATAGAAAGTAATGAAATAAAAAATAAGCACAAGATGATAAGAAGCAATATTGCCAGCAACAATAAATGTTGTTTATATTGCTATTGTTTTAATCGCACATTTAAAATGACATTTGGATAAATAATCAAGTAGGTTGGACAAACTATCAATATTTGTGATTCAATGCAGTACAACAAGGTAGTATTTCGTGTGACTTCAGTGAAAAAGAACAATAAATTGTGCTTTGCCACCTAACTACGGCAGGGCAAACCCTCTAATGATGTGGGATCACAACGGTGTCAAGTTCATAGAGTAATATGGTTCCAGTAACTCGTATAGCCGTGATACGAGAGCATATCAACAACATCGAACAATAAAACTAGCAATAACATCCATCAAAACTGTTTCATCAATGTTTTGTTAACGACATTAATTTCGTTACCTGCAATTTACATACGTATCAATTCATAAATTATCTAACTATTAAATAAGTGATATATTCAATATAAGCTAGTGCTACTGTATAAGTCTGCTGCATATGCAACAAGTCATTACAAAAACGTATTTTTGTATGAAATGTGTTATACAAGTCATTCACTTTACCAGTAGAATAAGAAAAAAAGGCTTCAACAGCGTAAACACGCATGTAATCGTAACATGTCGTTGCAAGAAAGGAAAACTAGAAAGAAAAACACCACAACAAGAAGACACCGTGCGCCCACAACAAAAAAGGAAGCAAATCAGACGCCCCAAATGGGTAAGAAATTAATACAGAATATCGTTACTCAAATTCAAGCTGTTGAGTTGAACACTTACCTTCCAAAATAAAATCGTATTTTAAATCCCGTTGCTTCGTTTTAAACAGCTTGTATAACTTTGATTGTTGTTGGTTTAATTGGCTTGTTTGATTAGTTGGTTCCTTAAAAGGGCGTGTTTGATTGGTCTGCTCAAGGAAGTACTCCTCGTCGTGTAAATGTAAAGATCCAAACTGAAAATAGGAAACATGTGTTTAATGACCTGATGAACCGTTATTATGTCATCATGGATTATCAATGAGATCCAGTAACATAATATTCCTTTTAGTCATTGACGTCAACAATACTATATCATAGTTTATTTAAATAAGTTTCGTTTTTTCTCAAATTCTTTTGCCTCAGTCCAGACTATTTTATTCACATATGCAATATGATACATTGTCAATGCCCTAAAGCCACGTGCACAGGTTCACACTCGGTACAGATATTGTAATTGGCCATTCCTCCTTGAATCATGCAAGTATATGTAGGAGTAGATATATCGTCGAAGCAGTCATAACTTGTATACATAAAAGACGTTAGATGAAAAAAGTCTTTAGAATGTAAATTTCAAAATGCTTGCAGGACAATACTCATTATCATTTAAGAATAATTTGAAATGTGATTTCATTGTTATGTTGAGGTGACAATTGTTTTTACATTGTACGTAAGCGTTTCGTCGAAGCTTTGCATCATCCCGTCTGGTCGTTTATGACGTATATAGTTTCCGTGGGCTGTCTTGAATAATTAAGTAATGATATGTTTTAAACTTTGCCATTGGGTGTGCAATTTTGCTGATAAAACTGCTTTTAAATTAGGTTTAATTATTGTTGTTATCGGACGGAGATGAATTTTGAAAGGTCGATCGTTTTCTGTAAGCAAGCTTGAATATAGTAAAACACGTAAGCCTCCAATGGACATACATAAATACAATTTGGAAGTTTATGCTTGTATTTATTTAAGTGACAAGGGGATGGTGTAAATAATATAGTATTAGCTTTAAGTGTTCATTTTAATTTTTTCACTTATACAAGATAATCTTACCTGTACTTTAAAAAAAAATAGAATCTGATCAGGTTATCGACCGACACATGATTTTCGGTAATTTATCATAGAAATTTAAAGACAAAATGGTGAAGTTTTGAGCTACTATTGATCTATTAATTTAAGGTGATGAGATAAAAAGCATGTAGTCTATACTTACTATGTTATGGATATGTGTGTCATTAAACTCCACCATAAAAGCTGCTCCTTTCTCGAGATTCTGGTATAATGCTACATTCTGAAAGCAAATCAACAAATTATACTATCGTTTAATACCTAGTGCAGATTAAAGATTTTAAAAGAAAAGACTATATCTAATATTTAACCATCGTATCTTGTTAATTAAACAAAACAATTGCATTGAAAATCTAATACTTTGAAAATAAAAGAATTTTCAATTGGATATACATGTATCTAATATTGTGGAGTTAAACATATTTTCTAATTGAGAAATCTAGTGTTTTTAATAATAAGTAATTTCTATTGGAGAAATGTAAAATTCAAATATTAAGGTAAATTGTATTGGACAAATCTAATATTTAAATGTAAAGGTGATTTCATTTGACAAATCTAATATTTAAATGTAAAGGTGATTTCATTTGACAAATCTAATATTTAAATGTAAAGGTGATTTCATTTGACAAATCTAATATTTAAATGTAAAGGTGATTTCATTTGACAAATCTAATATTTAAATGTAAAGGTGATTTCATTTGACAAATCTAATATTTAAATGTAAAGGTGATTTCATTTGACAAATCTAATATTTAAATGTAAAGGTGATTTCATTTGACAAATCTAATATTTAAATGTAAAGGTGATTTCATTTGACAAATCTAATATTTAAATGTAAAGGTGATTTCATTTGACAAATCTAATAATTAAATGTAAAGGTGATTTCATTGGACAAATCTAATATTTAAATGTAAAGGTATTTTCATTGGACAAATCTAATATTTAAATGTAAAGGTATTTTCATTGCACAAATCTAAAATTTTAATGTAAAGGTTTATTGTATTAGACAAATCTAATATGTAAATTTAAAGGTAATTATAATTTAACTATGTAACACTTGACATACTATTATCGTCTCTATGTATTATAAAGTACATTCTTTTTAATGACATGTGTCGATCGGCGAAGTTATAATGTCTTGTGATGTTCACTGCACCAACAAAAGGTACGGTGAGAAATGTTATACTGGTACGGACGGTTGTACGTGTGGTTTTTTTTAAATATTATTAGGGGAGATATTTTGCTAAAATATAACAGGGTAACTGTTTAAGCTATGTATTGGTTACTAACACTACAGTAACCTTAACATAAACGTAATCGCCGACAACCTGTTTACTATATACCAGCCAACAGCTCTAGTCATACACCATCGTTTCATTATAGTTGTTCACCCCGGGACTTGTAGATGCATTAACGCATACCCCCAGGATATGTTTGGTGTGTGTGCATTGGGCATGCATTCTTCTACATGTTTAAAATTTAAATGAACATTATTGAAATTTACATAACACCATTATCACGCTCCAGTGGCGGAGATAATGGATCAAACTGACGGCGATAATACAATCCTAATCCAATATCGTCACATGTTGAAATCCCAACAACCAATGTATGTGGCAATGATATCGGGTTCGAATTACTTCCCGAAATGAAAACATTTAAAAGTTACGTTTAAAAGATACGATCAAACTTACTTACATCGCTACAGTGTACCTTGTCATTTTGTAATTACGTCTCGGTCTGATCAACGTACGTAAACTGCAGGATGTACTTGTATGTTAACTTTTATATCTAGTTGGAGTGTAAATTTTGTTTAAGTTGTGCCAGAATGATAAAAATATCACATGAAATAGGAACAAGATAAAAATAATATTTGTATATGTCACCTAATAGTCTCAAATATCCCTCATCAAAATCCAAACATCACATTGTGTAAAGCATTGTAACGGTGAAAAAGCGGGGACAAACACTAACATTTTTGTTTTGCTCGTTGATGCATACTTGTCATCATAACATTGTTACAATAATATTATCGTAAAAGGTTTTTATTTACTTTTTATACCAGAACAGTTTGCGATTTCATTATTTGTCTGCAAACAAAAATTCAATAATGTGGCAAATTGTAAAACAGCAGCTTTATAAATCAATTCCTTTTAAAACAACAGCCTGAAACGTACCTGTAACACGGGAACATGTTGTCTGGTAACGCCACCAGCACGAGATATGTAAATAGGTACGTTCTGTTCAACGTCATCATTTCGTGTTAGTGGTAAGCTGACGTCATCACTTAATGTTGTAAATGTGACGTCAACGTTTTGAGGATATGGACTCCGATCTCCAGGGGAACGCCGGTAACGTCCATTGTTCTGTATATTGACGTCTACGAAATCTGATAACAAAATGTTTGAAAACATAATATCAATGTAACATTTTTATCAGTGGCATACATGTGTGATAATCCTTTAGTACTCAACTGTATCGAGCTAGAATAGTTTTTTTTTTATGTATTTCATATTAGCGATAGATTCATTATTGATGTATCAAAACTGAATAGAAAGCATCCCTTTCCGGGACTCAAAATCACCACAGCTACAAGATTCTGCTAAATACAGTAATAAATGATTAAAATTTAAGTTTAAAAAAATATTTCATTAGAATTAGGATTTAAGACTGAACTCATAAACTGAGTTTGAGCATGAGAATGTTACTATGGACTCAGTAACACACGTATATGATATATATGCTTTTTGTGAAGGTATACTTTATTCAAATTTTCATTTTAGAATATTTTTTTGTTCAGATCTATGATATAAGTGTAAAAGAAAAATTAACAAAGCACATGAAAGCACTGTCTTTCTGTTCTCACATTTAAAGTTATAACATGACACACTTGGACTTGTAGGTATAAAACGTGCCTGAGCGTCATTAGAAACCTGTCACGAAGACAGACGACAGGAACATCTTGAAATAAACTAGACATTGTCTTTATTCAAAATACATTTCCACTCACCTGGGGACACCGTTCATTTGACACAATAGAGACGATATCATACGAAATAGTTATTGTTCTATGTATTGCATATTATACAGAGTGCAAATAACCTTAGTCTTACAGTGGCATTTAAATGTCATTATGTACATGCAAATTGCATATGTAAACGTGTTCATTTGTAATGTATGGACGACTACTTCGATGAGACTAACATAAATTGGATATATATAGTCATTACCTTAAATTGAGTTATACAGACATATCATGAATCTTACCTTCGAAATCAGCTTCGAACTTGCCCTGGAATTTCAGTAGAGATGCTTTTGTACATCCCGTTAACAACAGTACCAGTAAAACAGTTATGTAGCGAGTGGTCTGTAGAGACATGTTCTTTGTAACTGCAGTATCGACAATATAAATGTACAGTGTACCCGGGTTTCAATTTGTATACACTAGTCAATCAGCTCGTGGTCGTTGTCGTCTGTTATCCGGTCTGTGGTCTGTATTTCACGTAACTAACGTCCAGTGTGTGCGGTCCGGGTAGTCTTCAAATGGAAATGTCTCCTTTGTACACAGTGGTATAGGGGTTATTGTGTAAACGTGTGTTTTCTGTATAACCCGCGTTAGTACATTAATAATTCACTGGTCATCTGTTGTCTTAAAGATATACCTGCAAAGCTGAGCATAGGTTTACAAAGGTAGACCGGTCGTGCTGTTGAATCAGAATGCTACAATCCAATAATGTCAGAGCACGTCTATGTGTACATTTCAACAAAACGGACACTTTTTAACCCTGCACTGTGTAGAAACTCCAGGCGTCCCGGCTTAAGTATATAGGAGCCAGTTGAGATCGATCAGCAGTTGACACACTAATGGGGAAAACTACACATGGAATAGGCTTATATATATTGAAAGGTGTTTTCAGTTCCACTTGAACGAGCGCCAAATACCGGGTACTTAAGGCTAATAGGATGTATATATGTATGTAGTAAGCATGCAGTGCTGTGTATAGGTGTGTCAGGGCTAGGTAGTCTGTTTCCATGAATTGTCGTAACAAGGTGAGTTTGCCACCTGACCAACGATTTGTCAATACCGTATAAATAGTCATACAAAAAAACGTCACGATTCTTACCAGCCATGCATGGATGACGTCACGGGTATTGTTCGGGTGATTCTATTTTTAGTCGGGACTCTCTTCTGTTAATGCGATGAGTCATATATGGGTAAACATGTAAATGTGATTTAGTACACAGGGTTAAGATATCGGTCAATATTTAAAAAAAACCGGCTTAAACAGTACAATACTGGTCGTGATACCCCTTCAATGGGATAATATTTAATCGTGAATGATTCTTGTACGACACATTTACAAATTAGATCAATGCCATATATGGAAAGTATATACCAAGGTGAGCTAGTCGATAATGACTGGCATCAGTATACAGTGTACCTAATGTACCCAGCCAAGACTCGACGAGTCCCGACCAATAGTAAATCCTATAACTGGGCTTTAGTCCCGTCAATACTGTTGCCTCAGTCACCATGTATCATAACACATTTCTCGAAACATCTTACGATAATTAAGATACTGATTCTCCTAGTTTGTTAAGTCACCGCTATTATCAATATATCCCGTACACCGGCAGTCCTCGCACTCGGCCTTTCCGTACAACAACCACGTACGAATCTTTATCTGTGATACTGAGCTAAACACGTTTAATAAAGTGCATATACCGGTACACTTTGTTAAAATTAGTAACTTATCCATTCGCGTAATATCAATAACTAGTTAGTATTGTACAAAGCTTATTTTCTCGTTCTTAGCCCTATCCGGATACACACAACCGCCAACACGCTATTATTCACGCCGCATAAAAACTTTCGGGAATCCGCTACATATAGCCGGCACACCGTTTGTTCATTATCTAGCCCGAGTGTCAATAGCCACTCCGTATTTTAAACAATTGATTATTGTCTCAAAATTAGAAATGTAGTTGATTGTCCAAATGACATTAAATTACCCCGGGTAGATGGATGAATATATTATTATTTTTGTTCAATATATGAACAATGTATGTCCAGTACTTACCCAGAGACATGTAGTATATATACGTCTCTGACTTACCAAAATATTCCCATAAGTAAATTACCAAAATATGGCAAATAGACAAATAATAATAATAATAATATACAGCATTTATATAGCGCCCTATATAATTTGTAAAATTACTCTAAGGCGCTTTACAACATATGGATAATAGTAATGGTTATAATTGTGAAAACAAACAACAAAGGCTTGCAATCACTTTCATACATTTAACAAGCAATGTGCACATAATTGAACAAATAAAAGGGTGGTATTTACATGACGTCTTTGCAAAGATTCTAAAATGCAGACGTGAAGAGGTGAGTTTTTATGTCCCTCTTGAACTTGGCCAGGGTATTCGACTTCCTAATAGCAGATGGTAAGCTATTCCACAACGTAGCCGAAACCCTCCCAAAGCATCTGTTTCCGTAGGTCACAGTACGAGATTTTGGGACACACAACAAAGATTCTGACTCCGACCGCAGTGATCTTGACGGCTGATACAGGGTAACAAGTTCCTGTAGGTACTGAGGAGCTGTTCCATTCAGTGCCTTGTATGTGTATACCAGAATTTTGTACTGCGACCTGTATCGTACAGGTAACCAGTGCAACGAATAAAGCGCAGGTGTGATGTGCTCTCTCTTTCGAGTACGAGTAACTAGCCGTGCTGCAGTGTTCTGAACCCTCTGCAGACGACTAGTTAGTTTGTCAGATATACCACAGAGCAGGGCGTTACCATAATCCAACCGAGAGGTAACAAGTGAATGCACCAAAATCTTGCATGCATCTGCAGTTAGAAACTGCCGAATACAGCCGATGTTCCTGATCTGGTAGTAACAGGATTTGGCAATAGCGTTCACTTGTTTCTCCATGTTCAGAGAACTGTCAAAGTATACCCCTAGGTTTTTAACAGCTGGAACAGTCTCAATAGTTCTGGCACCAACCTTGAGCTGGAGAGCCATTGTTTGCTGACACTTTGGGGAAAAGACGATTAGTTCCGTCTTTTCCTGATTAAGTTTAAGCATGTTGGCGTTCATCCAGATACTGATATCTGTCAGACAAGCTTCCAGACTTTCTGAGACTGTATTCCAACTGTCCTGTGGTTTTATGACCATGTAAATTTGTGTGTCATCAGCATAGCAATGATAGCGAAGGCTATGGCGACGACAAATCTCTCCAATCGGTTTGGAGTACATACAATATTTTCGTGGTCCTAACACCGACCCTTGAGGAACCCCGAAATCTAGTACTTTGTCATGTGAGGTGGCAGATCCGATGGCAACACACTGTCGTCGTTCACTCAGGTATGACTGTATCCAGCATAGTGCGGTATCAGTCACTCCATAAGAGTATTCCAGACGTTTATAAAGTATGCCATGGTCGATGACGTCAAATGCAGCTGACAAGTCCAGCATGACAAGCACCGCTCTGCACTTGTTATCCAATGCAGAAGCTATATCACTATGTACACGTAGGAGGGCCGTCTCAGTAGAGTGTCCCATGCGGTAGGCCGATTGCATGTTGTCATGGAGACTGTTTGCATGGAGATGAACCTCTAAACGCCGGGACACAACCTTCTCCAAGATCTTAGACAGAAAAGGCAGATTTGAAACTGGGCGGTAGTTTTTCAACTCCTCCTTGTCCATTCCAGGCTTTTTTAACAATGGTCTGACATGTGCCTTCTTGAAACATAATGGAACCTTTGACTCAACCGATGATTTATTCATGATTGCGGTAATCAAAGGAAGCAGTGCTTCAAGACATTGCTTTAATAGGTCTGTAGGCAGTGGATCAAGCTCACAGGACTTCGATTCCGAGGTCATGATAATGTTGCGCAACTCGTCCTGGGTTGTTGTCTAAAATATGTTTTGTAGACTCCTGTTGTACGCGTCTGACTTCGTAGATAACTAGTGTTATGATACCTGTTGAGTAAGCTTAGTAAGTCGCTTTATAAATCAGTTACATCTTGTGTTTCACTTTATGGGAAATGATCAAACGTTTTAAGAATAATGTCGGATAAACACAAGTGGGAATTTCATCATCATTGCCATTCTCACTTTTGTTTTTGATTTGGAAACTTCTCTTTTAGTTTAAACATATTTTATTGACATATACTATGACAATAGGATTAGTCAGTCAGTAACTTCTCTTTATTAGAAACGGTGCAACAGATTAAGACTTTGGTGAGTAAAGTTTATTTCTGTGAATGCACACAGGGGTTATTTTTCAGAATCTGTTCAGGACCTGCTTACATGGTAGTCTTGGTAGTCGGTTTACTTACGGTACAAAATAGCACTAAGCAGTTAACCCTTGACAAAAACCATATATTGATTTCATAAACGTAGGTCGTATTAAGGACTAAGAAACCTGGTTTAAGAAAAAATGAAATTGTAGACGTGTTCAAATGTTTAGGCGTGGAAATTAGATTGAAGTTATTTTAATCCTGTACATAGGCAACTTGTTGAACAAGACCGTGAGGTTATGTTTGATTATTTTTTGTATCAAAGTGTTCTAACTTAGTTGTAAAACATTACTACATTTATACAACTATGGGTTCTTAAAAGGTTTAGATAAAGGTGCATTTATGTTTCTTTAATGGTATTTTAAAAGTTAAGAAGACTATGTGTAATGCAATGGTGTGTTTGAATCAGGACGGTTCCCGTTGGATTGTATCAGGAAGTACATAAATATACTATACTGGTTAAAATTACTGGACACAAAGTATTGTATTTTAACACCTCCGATTTGTTTTGAAGCAATAGTAAAACAGGTAATTGCTTTGATTGGGTGAATGATGTTAGATACTTATAAACATAAATATGTACTGTACCTAATAAATCAAGGGATTATTGTATCAATGTCAGCAATTTGTATTTAATTGGTCTAGAGAGTCTTCAACCAAACGTAGCCTGTGTAAGCATTAGGCAAATCACTATACCCTTCAATGCTATCTGACAAAAATACTTTTCTATATATAAAAGTCCGAATAAATTCATCTAAATGACGTTTTCCGCACACAAATTTAGCAATTGAGATATGGAGATATAATACTATAATGCGGGGAAAAAAAGAATCTGCAGCAATGCCAATATGTAAAAAATTACACGATTTACGATTGGAACATATATAACATTTTACTGGTGTCAACTCTCTATGAGTAAAGTGCAACTTTAAATACATTGTGATGCTACTGTTTAACGATGCTGCTGCTGCTGCTGTTGAAGTGATGAGGTGTTCTTTGGTAGGATAAGGAGGAGGGGGAGATAACCGATAGTTACCGTCGTTAACGTTAGTTCCACCAGGTTACAGCACAGTTAAAGGGTATCATAGACAAATAAATCCAAAATCACCAAAACTCCAAAGTCCATTATGAAATGTCTGACCTGGAGGTTATGGTAACTTTGTAAATGTACTTACTTGTGAAACCCAGGTAACTATGGTTACACTAGTGGTTGGCACATTAGCCAAAGTCTATATAGAGTAATTTGTTAGTATACAGTTAAAGAATACTTTGGCCGTTTTATTATACCGATACACACTGGAGAGATAATTTGCTTACATAAGAGGCTATGTCTGCTTTGATCTGGTCAGGCTAAATCTGTCGTCTGACATCTGGTGTTGTCGCTCCTTCGTGGACTCTGTGGCAACCCACTTATTTTGGGAATAGACAGATCTTCTCACCACTTCGTATCCGAAATAAAAATACAAACACGCAAATATACATTTGCCGTACTAGCCCGTGTTGAATCAGAGCCGTACTAACCCATCTTTAATTAGCGCAGTCGGTGTTTAACACTTTTTTTGTTCTGATTGTTTTGTATGAGCCTGTATACATTACGGCCCTACCCTCACTATCGCAGACGTAATACATACGTCCCTAACTCGCATGTTCCACACCTGCGCTAGCCTCACAGACACTCCATACATGAACCCCCATCACAGAATGTATCGCGCGCCCAGGAAAAAACGGAGATAACCACCGGAAACCTGTGTTCCGACAGCTGGAATCAGTTATTTCCATCTGCAATACATTCTCCGGGCCGACACAGGGACCGCCGTCAAAACCCCCGAAAAACAAAACTCACCAGAAGCTATATTGATCCCGATATCAACACACCACACTCCCTGTAAACGTACCTTGTCCGGACCTAATATCGCACTCTATGTTGACCAAGCTGTTTTACCGGAGAAGAGTATCAATCCTAACAACGCTAAAAACTGCGGTTACATACCGACACCCGTATTGGGATAAACCCTATAATCAAAGGAAAATATCTAACGAAAACTATGAGTTTAACGTGACTGCACTAGTCGACGGAAAGCTAGAGAATGACTACGCCCTTCGTACGCACCCATACCAAGGCCTATGAACCGCACGTGCACTACGTACATATACGTGCCAGAGAAGACAAATAATTCCCGCTATACTTACGAAACGCGGGGATATTTAAGTCTTCCATCCTCGTGACTGACAGGATTTGATGTTGATTAATTCACTTGATACATATATATATATGTAAGTGATTTGTATTTCGAGTTTGGAGTTTATATTTTCATTGTTTCTGGTTGTGGATTTCTTTGTTTTTTTGTCTCAACAGCAATAAGAAATACCAGATATTATTTCACTAAAAGTGTAATATAAATATTGTATAGAAATAAAATAAGAAAGTATTATTATATTTATATCATGCTGCATGAAAACTGTGTATGTATGCTTTTTAATCATACATCTACAATACATTATGTATGGAAAGTCAATTAAATTTTATCCCATTTACTGCTCAAGTAAATAGGATTATTTCATAATGAAACAATTTGTTCATGTATTTTTTTGTATCAATATCAACCAAGAGTAGGGGGTATAGGCTCACACCATTCATGAGAGGTCAAAATACCTTCAGTGTACACTTATAGACACAGATACACGTGTGCTGCCCACAAAACTAGACATTAGGGAGCTGGCTCTGTGGCCTTACCGGCACAAAATTAATTGATACTGTTAATGTCCCAGATAACACCAACATACAAAACTCCCTATATTTGGCGCTTTCCCTCTCCTCGGCCTCACCGCGTCTCTCTTCTCAATGCATAGTCAATACTACAGTCTTAGCAGTATAAAGGGAGATAACTCTCACTGCTATTTAAATTTGTGGGCATTAACAAGTTGTTACAATGTTAAAAATGTTCAGTTGACATTATTTCCACTAAAACCTAGTAAGGAAAAACTGAAAAGGCTTATTTTCGTTACGATTCTTGAAAAGGGATACAATAAACATAAGGTAAAGCATAGCACATAATGCTTTATTCAGGACTTGTAAAACATCAAATAAGAAATAAAGAAAAGAAATGATTTACACTTAATAGATACACGATCGAGTGTGTATAAATTAAAAAAATAAACCCGATGTTGTGCTTCCATTAAAGCCAGGATGACAAACACTAACGATAAAGATGTATATTGTGCGTTTATATTTACGTATATTTAAAAAAAAGGAAAAATATTCAAATTTTCAATATAAAATGATATTAAGGATACCATATAAAAGAATGTTACGATTACTAAAATGAGTTAAGAAATTATATTTTCATTAATGCTTCATGTTCTGAATTTTAGTATAGAACTATTTAGTCTCAATCCTCTGTGTTATTACAATATGTGCAATAAGTCACAAATAAATGTTTGACGTGAAAATGATTTACATAAAGTTTCAATACATTGTTGGGCCATTCCTTTAATGCTGATATATTCATGTTCCTGTTTTAAAACACACTTTTCCTTCGCTTTGGTAATTATTTCTATGACAAATTATATATAAACAGTCGTGCTCATTTATTTAACCCAAAACGGGGCACATTTTAAAGCAATAACAATGTATTTTATACTATACTATCAATTCCAAAAATGTTTGTACTTTTTTCATAAAAAGAAACCATACACTTCTCATTTGTATTACAGTTTGGCATTTCCGGGGCATGGTTCTATAAAAAGGACTCGAAATACTATGAGTGTGGCGTAGTCCCTTCAGCAAGTGTTACTGTATCCTGAAAGGGACACTTCGGTATGTTGGCTAATATTGGGAATAAACGAAAAGTATACATAGTTCAAATATTTTAGTCAAAGGGGGTTCTGATTAGGACTTAGGGAAATATGGGCAGATTTCCGCCTATTAGTTTGGATAAAATAGACTTTTGAAAATGATATCAAAATAAATCACGATATTTTTGTATTAATAATGGGTTATTATTATTACCTTTGAAAAGCTCATACATGTATAACTTAGTTTAAATTGTCATAAAAGTATCATCAAATGAAAACTGCATTCATAAAATTACTTCTTCGCGGCATTGCATGCCAGGTTCTTTAGCAGCTTTGCCTCAAGTGTCCCGTTTTAGGTGCAGTGGGTGTTAACGTTTTAGTCTAATTCCGTACGTGGAATATTCAATTTATCTAATTTTGGCCGATTTTATTTTTTACCTTTTCACATCAGATTTCAGTCTATTCAGTTAAAAGTTTAATTCAAATGAGTTCGTTATAAATATCCTGTTCTGCAAAATACATAAACCGGAAACGTGTACCCACAATTCTTGCAATGCCACGTAGTGGCCATATTGGATCAACAACCGGTGTCTCACCTGTGGAATAAGATTGACATTCAGCCTGTTTTAACTACAGGATGGGTGGTTCATTCAGCACAGAAATTCCGGGCGGCGGAACAGAGGGCTACCATGTTCTCAGGGTACGTGACACGAACCACATGTCTGTTAGAGCTAGGAAATGTGTGAAAACATCTCGCATTTGGTGACCGACCCACCACGTCATGTTTCTGAGTGTCGAATATTGACGTATACGTAGTTACTACTTAGGCCTACTGCCATTTGTACAGTGCACCTACATCGTATCAGTGGTTCATTAAAACGACTTTATTTATTTTTATTTAGTTAACTGATATTTAAGTGAATATCTGACACTTGAGCAGTCTCGACAGACCGATAAAAACAAAAGTCGATAAAACGTCAGAATAATCCGGACTACGGTAGAAATAACCGTGCATTTTAGTTGACGTTGACATTTACACGTGTATTACATTCACGCTGTTCATATTTAACAGCTGTACAATAAAATGTGCCTGCATCATGGTCAATGTAACAGAGAGACTTATTCACACATGTCTTACAGACTAGGGGAGAAAGGCATTCGAAATGCATATTTAAATGTAATGCTTATGTTTAAACATGTATTCACCTGTTCACCCTGACCTCTGTTAGGTTAGGTAAGGTAGTCTCAAGCAAAATATGTATCATGCACATTTGAAACTCGGGCTTGCCAAGAACAATGATATAAAACAGACATTCTCTTTAAAAAGCATAGCTTTTAAATGGACAGACAGTTGTTATACAGGTATTTCTAAACCTTTCGAATTCATTTGTTTCTTGTGGCCCCATAGTCTACCAGGATGACATGAACGAATAGTTGTTATAAGTTGTAAGTTATAAGCCTGACAAGGGTTTGAACCTGAGCCCCTTCAAACTCTTAAGTGATCGCTCTACAGTTTACCAATTGAGCTACCTAGGTCTGGGCGCCAACAATTGACCCAGTCCTCCCTCCTTTTTCTAACTCTTTGCCCCCGAAGACACAACAATTTACAACCCATATTTGTGTGTCCTTTTGCCAAGCATTCACCAAGTCCTTGCAACAAGTGTTTGTTCGCTGGACAAAATCATGTACACATGTTATCATCACATGTTGATACAGTAATGCTAATGATAATATAATAATTTACAACATTTAAATAATGCCTTATATAATTTGTAAAATTACTCTAAAGCGCTTTACAACATATGGTTGTATAGAAGTCGATTCTTATTACAGTTAAATGGCAATCTGTTATCCGCTGTAAATAGAAACTCGCATTTAGTGATATAATGTCTCCGACCTGATGAAATGTTTTGACAGATTAGACCAATATTTAAAAAAGTTAGCAAAATGTGTTAATTGTTTTTTCCTTTCTTTATAGGTGCAAGAAGGCTCACCAGGGCACAAAGCAGGACTGGAGGCATTCTTTGATTTTATTGTAGCAATAGGACACACACGACTTGTAAGTTTAATTCCTTCATTTTGACCTTACATGCTTATTTCCTTCAGCAAGCCTTCCACAACCTCTGCGAAACATTCCTGATAAATAGAAATGGCCCTTTGGCATGCAGGGATAATCCTGAAAGGGGCCATTGACCCCTCAAAACTGAATTTGATCCCTCAATGTTCCAGTTTTCTTTTAATTTTACATAGAATGGCCCCTCTTAATTTTGATTAAAAATTGCTGAAAATGGCACACTGCTCTCAAATTCAAGGATTTTTCCTGGCATGCAACACTTATCTGATTATACCACTCCTCTCAGACTTGTAAGACATCTGTCAGCAGTATACACTATATACAAACCACCCTAATCTTTGTACCTGTCAATTAACATTGATATGAAGACTGCTGATGTTTTTTTACATGCAGTGCCAGCTTTATTAAATAACTTTTGATAGGAATTTGAAATAAATGAGTAATGACGGTTTGATTTAAACGGGTTTTTTTTTATTACACCTGAATGTTTTTCAATTGTATCTCAATCATAAATTCATAAACTTTTGATGGACAATGTAAAGCATTCCTCATTTCTCTGTGAGAATTGTTTTTGTCATAGTAAAAGCAATACCTAAGTCATTCATTTAAAGTCAATATCTATATATATATAAAGAAATCAGTTGTGATTTATATATAATGGAAAATTTATTAATGGTTAATAGTTAAAGAATCATGAGTCAAATTCAAAACTTAGCTAAGCTGCTTCATACAATTTGTTAGATAACTCATTTATAGGAAGGGGTTCATGGGGTCCTGGGTTCCACAGAACTGAAATTGCCCCATATCAACTTTCTTTACTTTTAATTAACTGTACATGTCATTATAATGGCCCCTCTAACTTTTGATATTGAGTAAAAGTTGCTAAAAATGTTACCCTTAGCTTCCAGGATTTCCCCTGTATATAATATAATATTTTGCCCTTTCTGTTGTCTGGAAAGTAGATATTAAGAGCTCTCATCAGTGTTTGAATCTCTAATTTCGATTTACTTGTATCTCAAATGTCTTGTCTCGCTTAAATTGATGTTTGTTATATATATATATTGAAACAATAGAAGAAGCCTTTTTATTTTGACTTCATGATTGATAAAATATTAAAAAAGCTTGTAGCTCTCAAGTCACTTTAAACTAACGTGTCATTTTATGCCATTTTATCTCTTACAGAATCAAGATAATGATACCCTTAAAGATCTGCTAAAGGCGAACATAGAAAAACCAGTGAAGATGGCTGTGTATAGTAGTAAAACACAGTCAGTCAGAGAGGTCACCATTCTACCCAGTCATAACTGGGGCGGTCAAGGACTTTTAGGTGTGAGCATCAGGTAAATAAAGAGAGACTGTCATCTGAATAATTATAGAGGGACTAGCTACCATCTAGGTAAAGAAAGAGAGACTGTCATCTGAATAAATAAATAGGGACTAACTACTATCTAGATAAATATAGAGGGCCTGTCATCTGAATAAATAAATAGGGACTAGCTACTATCTAGATAAATATAGAGGGACTGTCATCTGAATAAATATATATATAGGGACTAGCTACGATCTAGATAAATATATAGGGACTGTCATCTGAATAATTATAAAGGGACTAGCTACCATCTAGGTAAATACAGAGGGACTGTCATCTGTTAACTATAGAAGGAGTATCTAGCTGGCACAGCTGTTTGATACAATTGGAAATTGTCTGTCAAGAGTTCAGAGGTTCTGGGATGGAATCTTATTCTGGCCATGCACTTTTCTTCTGTTACACAATTACCTATATCATTTAATGAAACAAGTCTAGACACTTATTAAAATCTAATTTTCACATGTGCTGCCCCATTAGATCAAACGTATTACTGTGATCATTTTTTGTAACTTTGCTGGGGAGAATAATTTATATATGGAAGGATACAAGCTACTATTTTGTGTTAATTGACAAAAGTTTTGGTTTATTTACAGATTTTGTTCCTTTGAAGGGGCTAATGAAAATGTATGGCATGTGCTGGTAAGTCTGTCTGTGTTTTCTTTTGTCAATAGAAAATAGTGACTTCAACAGGTGTACCTGTACTGTACTGTACTCTGAAAGGAACAGTTTACTATTTTTGTTGAGTGGTATTAAAATATAATCAATAAAGCAAAACTAAACATGGCATATTGGAATTTTTGAGAGTCAAGAAAGGTTCTGATTACATTTTTTCAATCAATCATGCATGTGAAGATGTTACTAAAATCTGCACTGGGTTTTGAGAAAATGTACATGAAATTTTCTCAAATGAAAGGGGCCTTATGAAGGTCCCAAATGATCCCCAAAAAATCACAAATATAATATAAATTGTGTCTTCAGAAGTTTCATAATCATTATTGCCTTTTCCAATCTAAAATAGCATGCTATCATATTTTTATATTCTTTATTAGCCAAGAGCCATACCACTCATAGCAGGAACAAGTGCTTTAAATCATAAACAGAAATAATGAATAGGACAAATTAAAGCAATCCAATGTTTTTGTGTTCTAAAGTGTTTTGTATATTTGTTGCTGCAACAGGAAGTGAAACCAAACTCCCCAGCAGACCTGGCTGGTCTAAAGTCTAATACAGACTACATCATAGGAGCGGACTCTGTACTGCACGAGGTAAGAACACCTTGTGATGATTCATACTCCATATCTTATTGGAGCTGACTCTGTACTGCACGAGGTAAGAACACCTTGTGATGATTCATACTCCATATCTTATTGGAGCTGACTGAACAAATCCCAACCTCCCGTGGGTTGGAATAGTCATGATATTTGGAGACTGTTGATGAGGGAGATTATTCAGGTTATTGAGATCTCGTAAGTTTTTAGTATTAATTGTCATTGGTGTACATGTCTGCTAGCCCGATACCTGTTCAGGGCTAGTGATTTATGTCGGGACCAGTGTAATTTTTCAGTATTTACTATATGAACACATAGAGACGACTAGTAGAAGATTGTGCAGGCTAATAGTACTCTTAATATGAAATTATACACCTATGAACTTATTTGTCATTTATGAAGTATCTTACCAGTATAGTTCCACTGCATTTCTCCAAATTATTACTGATGTATCAAACCTTATATCTTTTTAACCCTTGTTTCCAGTCCGAGGACTTGTTTACACTGATAGACTCTCACGAAGGTAAACCGCTGCGCCTGTATGTATACAACACAGAATCGGACTCGTGTCGGGAGGTCACCATCACACCTAACGGCGCCTGGGGAGGAGATGGCAGGTATGTGTCTAATACATACCTTAAGAGAATCTGAGAAAACAACTAGGCTAAAGTCATATGAGCTGTGTATATATATATATATATATGTATATATATGGGGCAAAGAAGTAATTCCAACAGTGTGGACAAGTTTAGGTTGTCTCTAGTACTCTTAATACGAAATTATACACCTTGTATTTTTGTCCACACTGTTGGAATTACTTCTTTGCCCCATATAATATTTGAAGTAATTCGTATCCTACGGACATACCACCATTAGGATCCAGTGTTATATGGGATTTTACCGTCTTTATTACCTCTTTGACCCACATATATATATATATATAAGGAAAATTGTTTCCACGTTGATTATGAATATCCTAGAATTAAAGCAGCTTTTTTAAAAAGTCTGCGACATGTGGAGAGAACACTGAGTGTCGGTTAACAATGGCTTGTCTATGATTTGTGAGCAGAAGATATGGAAGTTAATCCAATACAGACACATCCTGATTACATGTTTGATCTTTATCAGTACGTTTGGTGAGGAAGGCAGGTAAGACCGTTTTTATGGGTATATGGAAAAAATGAAATTTTATTAAAGTTTCCCTTCCAATGCTTAAAATCCCTCACTAGCTCTTTGTGTTGACGCAATTAGATCACCAAGGAAACAGGTTTCATATTAGGGCTTAAAGCTACAAATCTTCATTTTGTGAGGAGAAAAAATGTTTTAACCTTGCTAACAGTAGATCTAGAGTGGTTAGAGATGTCACCTATCAAACCAGGTTTGCTTGCTAAAGGAAATTATTAGATAGACTATATCAAAGCTTTACTTTATACACAAATAATGTACATGTATATTTAACTTGTCGCAACGTTTCCTATGATATAATTAAATAGTATGTCATGTAAATGCCAAAACGTAAATTTTACTTTACATTATCATATCTTCATAATGTTCCTACTAGAAATTAATATATGGTTTGAGACAAGAGTTTTGTTTTCATTTTGCAACCCTACCACCCATAATTATGTTTGATCTCTTTCTGCCACCCCCCCCCCCCCCCCCAGCTTATTTTTCATTCCCCATTATCAGATCAGAAATAACCAACAGTAAGACACTCAGTAAAGATCTATAGGAATCAGAGTTATGTGAGACATGTATGAGTTAACATTATTGTCATAAAGCATGATTTTAGACTAAATGTTTGCAGTAACAGCATGTGGTGGATAGAGGTTAGATAAGGTTACCATGGTGATAGGCTGTAGTCACACGATCATTCGAAAAATGTTAACGTTATGTTACAATACAGCACTTACATCTTTGTGGAGGTTTGATACCTCATGTATTTGTGTCGTACAAACTACCCCAGGAATTCTCTGCCCTCCTGATATTGTATTAATTTATACTGAAATGTAAACCTTGCTAATTTGTTACAGGGACAAAACCATCTAAGTTTGAGCCACAAAGTAAAGCATTGTCCAGTGCACCTTCATACATTTCATTACTAAATTGTTGAGTATTGCTTTGTTTTTAAGTCGGTCTAAGCACCACAAAACGCACTAAATGTCTGCACGTAATTACCTGGTATTGAGATGCAGGTACTAATTTGTCTGGCTAATGGCAGCAATGCTGACATGTTTTTTCTTTCAACATAATTGGTTATCAAAGCTTGCACATCAAAGTCATTACATGGCAGATTAGTATTTAGTTCCTGACCAAAGTTCATCTAACAGCTAAGACTGTTCTGACAATACAAATTGAAAATTCTTTTACTGTTATTGAATTCGCTCTCATATATAGTGTCCACCATTTGTTGGTCCTATTGACCTCTCCTGTGTTCATGGGCGGTTAAGCATGTAATGATAATAACGATTTACATTTATAGCTACTTGTTACAGAGGCTGATCATGTAAATTTCTTTTGTTGTCCATTTGAGCTTCCTGCCTAACTAGATTACATTCAAAGCCATTTGCTTGCAGTTTTGTGTTGTCTGGGCCATAAAAAAACTTAATACTGAAGGTTGAGTATAGATAATGTTATGGTCCCATTCATTCATACAACCATGGCATGATGACCTGCTCTCTAGACTATTAATACAAATTGTATGGCCACTTTGTCCATCATTCATCTCCCTGTGACCCATCTCTAGGCTATGAAGAACTAATACTGAGGGTCGAAGATGTAAAATACGATATCCACATTCATTCATACATATATGGCACTTAGATTTCATCTTGAGCATCTTCTTTCATTGGTGTCTTTCACAAAATTTCATACTGAGGTAAGGTACCAAAGTAGGGGCTTCTTAAAGGAGTTTTGTGTTTCCTCATTTTATACCAAAGGTCAAGGTCAACATTACTAGATAAAAATCTGTTCATTGATAAAGCTCCATTTGGGATTTCATTAGCATGAAACTGATTTTAACAAGGAAGCAGAGATATACTTGCATTGTCTTACAGATATTCCCTGGTTTTGTTGTAAGTCTGATCTAAAACTACAAGTTGTTAAGGACCATACTTGTCTTTTTCTCTGATTTCTGTTTGGGTTGTAACTGCAAAATATTAGGACTGATTGTTTATTATTCTCTATTTCAGTCTTGGATGTGATATTGGATATAAAGCTGTTGATGACTGATTGTGTATACATACCCTTCTCTATTTTCAGTCTTGGATGTGGTGTTTACTATGGAGTTGGTGATGACTAATTGTGTATACGTACACTTTTCTTTTTTCAGTCTTGGATGTGGTGTTTACTATGGAGTTGGTGATGACTGATTGTGTACCCTTCTCTATTTTCAGTCTTGGCTGTGGTATTGGATATGGATATCTACACAGAATACCAAAGAGACAGTTCCCCTCGAGTATTTCACCAGAAACAATTCCTACCAGTGTCCAGACACCACAGAAGACTCCCGATGGATTTGCAGAGGTAAAGTCTCGGGGACAGTTATAGAGCACTTGGGGACAGTTATAGAGCACTTGGGGACAGGTATAGAGCACTTGGGGACAGTTATAGAGTTCTCGAGGGACAGTGATAGAGCACTTGGGGACAGTTATAGAGTACTCGAGGGACAGTGATAGAGCACTTGGGGACAGTTATAGAGTACTCGAGGGACAGTGATAGAGCACTTGGGGACAGTTATAGAGCGCTCGGGGACAGTTACAGAGCACTCGGGGACAGTTACAGAACAGTTATAGAGCACTTGGGGACAGTTATAGAGCGCTCGGGGACAGTTACAGAGCACTCGGGGACAGTTACAGAGTACACAGGGACAGTTACAGAGTACTCGAGGACAGTTACAGAGTACTCGGGGGACAGTGATAGAGCACTTGGGGACAGTTATAGAGCGCTCGGGGACAGTTACAGAGCACTCGGGGACAGTTACAGAACAGTTATAGAGCACTTGGGGACAGTTATAGAGTACTCGAGGGACAGTGATAGAGCACTTGGGGACAGTTATAGAGTTCTCGCGGGACAGTGATAGAGAACTTGGGGACAGTGATAGAGCACTCGGGGACAGTGAAAGAGCACTCAGGGACAGTTACAGAGTACTCGGGGACAGTTACAGAGTACTCGAGGACAGTTACAGAGTACTCGGGGGACAGTTATAGAGTTGGTGATGACTAATTGTGTATACGTACACTTCTCTATTTTCAGTCTTGGATGTGGTGTTTACTATGGAGTTGTTGATGACTGATTGTGTACCCTTCTCTATTTTCAGTCTTGGCTGTGGTATTGGATATGGATATCTACCCAGAATACCAAAGAGACAGTTCCCCTCGAGTATTTCACCAGAAACAATTCCTACCAGTGTAAAGACACCACAGAAGACTCCCGATGGATTTGCAGAGGTAAAGTCTCGGGGAAAGTTATAGAGCACTTGGGGACAGTTATGGAGCACTCGGGGGACAGTGATAGAGTACTCGGGGACAGTTACAGAGTACTCGAGGACAGTTATAGAGCACTCGGGGACAGTTACAGAGTACCGAGTATTTCACCAGAAACAATTCCTACCAGTGTCCAGACACCACAGAAGACTCCCGATGGATTTGCAGAGGTAAAGTCTCGGGGAAAGTTATAGAGCACTTGGGGACAGTTATAGAGTACTCGGGGACAGTTACAGAGTACACGGGGGACAGTTGATGACTGATTGTGTATACATACCCTTCTCTATTTTCAGTCTTGGATGTGGTGTTTACTATGGAGTTGGTGATGACTGATTGTGTACCCTTCTCTATTTTCAGTCTTGGCTGTGGTATTGGATATGGATATCTACCCAGAATACCAAAGAGACAGTTCCCCTCGAGTATTTCCCCAGAAACAATTCCTACCAGTGTCCAGACACCACAGAAGACTCCCGATGGATTTGCAGAGGTAAAGTATCGGGGACAGTTATAGAGCACTTGGGGACAGGTATAGAGCACTTGGGGACAGGTATAGAGCACTCGGGGACAGTTATAGAGCCCTTGGGGACAGTTATAGAGCACTTGGGGACAGTTATAAAGCACTCGGGGACAGTTATAGAGCCCTTGGGGACAGTTATAGAGCACTTGGGGACAGTTACAGAGTACTCGGGGGACAGTGATAGAGCACTTGGGGACAGTTATAGAGTACTCGAGGGACAGTGATAGAGCACTTGGGGACAGTTATAGAGTTCTCGAGGGACAGTGATAGAGCACTTGGGGACAGTTATAGAGTTCTCGCGGGACAGTGATAGAGAACTTGGGGACAGTGATAGAGCACTCGGGGACAGTTATAGAGCCCTTGGGGACAGTTATAGAGCACTCGGGGGACAGTGATAGATCCCTCGAGGACAGTTATAGAGCACTCGGGAGACAGTTATAGAGCACTTGGGGACAGTTATAAAGTTCTCGAGGGACAGTGATAGAGCACTTGGGGACAGTTATAGAGCACTCGGGGGACAGTGATAGATCACTCGAGGACAGTTATAGAGCACTCGGGGACAGTTACAGAGTACTCAGGGGACAGTTATAGAGCACTCGGGGGACAGTTATAGAGCACTCGGGGACAGTTATAGAGCACTTGGGGACAGTTATAGAGTTCTCGAGGGACAGTGATAGAGCACTTGGGGACAGTGATAGAGCACTCGGGGACAGTTATAGAGCACTCGGGGACAGTTATAGAGCACTTGGGGACAGTTATAGAGCACTCGACGGACAGTGATAGAGTACTCGGGGACAGTTACAGAGTACTCTGGGACAGTTATAGAGCACTTGGGGACAGTTATAGAGTACTCGAGGGACAGTGATAGAGCACTTGGGGACGGTCATAGAGCACTCAGGGACAGTTATAGAGCACTCGGGGACAGTTACAGAGTACTCAGGGACAGTTACAGAGTACTCGAGGACAGTGATAGAGCACTCGGGGGACAGTTATAGAGTACTCGAGGGACAGTGATAGAGCACTTGGGGACAGTCATAGAGCACTCAGGGACAGTTATAGAGCACTCGGGGACATTTACAGAGTACTCGGGGGACAGTTATAGAGCACTCGGGGACAGTTACAGAGTACTCGGGGACAGTGATAGAGTACTTGGGGACAGTTATTGAGCACTCGACGGACAGTTACAGAGGACTCGGGGACAGTGATAGAGTACTTGGGGACAGTTATTGAGCACTCGACGGACAGTCACAGAAGTACTCAGGGGACAGTTATAGAGCACTCGGGGGCCAGTTATAGAGCACTCGGGGACAGTTATAGAGCACTAGAGGACAGTTATAGAGCACTCGGGGACAGTTATAGAGCACTTGGGGGACAGTTATAGAGCACTTGGGGACAGTTATAGAGCACTTTGGGACAGTTATAGAGCACTCGGGGACAGTTACAGAGTACTAGGGGGACAGTTATAGAGCACTTGGGGACAGTTACAGAGTACTCGGGGACAGTTATAGAGAACTCGGGGACAGTTACAGAGTACTCAGGGACAGTTACAGAGTACTCGAGGACAGTGATAGAGCACTCGGGGGACAGTTATAGAGTACTCGGGGACAGTTATAGAGAACTCGGGGACAGTTACAGAGTACTCAGGGACAGTTACAGAGTACTCGAGGACAGTGATAGAGCACTCGGGGGACAGTTATAGAGCACTCGAGGGACAGTGATAGAGCACTTGGGGACAGTCATAGAGCACTCGGGGACAGTTATAGAGCACTCGGGGACATTTACAGAGTACTCGGGGGCCAGTTATAGAGCACTCGGGGACAGTTATAGAGCACTCGGGGACAGTTACAGAGTACTAGGGGGACAGTTATAGAGCACTTGGGGACAGTTATAGAGCACTTTGGGACAGTTATAGAGCACTCGGGGACAGTTACAGAGTACTCTGGGACAGTTATAGAGCACTTGCATTGGGGACAGTTACAGAGTACTCGGGGACAGTTATAGAGCACTCGGGGACAGTTATTGAGCACTCGGGGACAGCTATAGAGCATTCGACGGACAGTGATAGAGTACTCGACGGACAGTGATAGAGCACTCAGCGCACAGTTACAGAGTACTCGGGGACAGTGATGGAGTACTTGGGGACAGTTATTGAGCACTCGACGGACAGTTACAGAGGACTCGGGGACAGTGATAGAGTACTTGGGGACAGTTATTGAGCACTCGACGGACAGTCACAGAAGTACTCAGGGGACAGTTATAGAGCACTCGGGGGCCAGTTATAGAGCACTCGGGGACAGTTATAGAGCACTCGGCGACAGTTACAGAGTACTCGGGGGACAGTTATAGAGTACTCGGGGGACAGTTATAGAGCACTCGGGGACAGTTACAGAGTACTCGGGGACAGTGATAGAGTACTCGGGGACAGTTACAGCGTACTTGGGGACAGTTATAGAGCAATCGACGGACAGTGATAGAGTACTTTGGGATAGTTATAGAGCCCTCGACGGACAGTGATAGAGCACTCGGTGGACAGTTATAGAGTACTCGAGGGACAGTGATAGAGCACTTGGGGACAGTTATAGAGCACTCGGGGGGCAGTTATAGAGCACTCAGGGACAGTTACAGAGCACTCGAGGGCAGCTATATATATAGAGCACTCGAGGACAGTGATAGAGCACTCGAGGGACAGTGATAGAGCACTTGGGGACAGTCATAGAGCACTCGGGGACAGTTATAGAGCACTCGGGGAGGGACAGTTATAGAGCACTCGGGGACATTTACAGAGTACTCGGGGGCCAGTTATAGAGCACTTGGGGACAGTTATAGAGTACTCGGGGACAGTTACAGAGTACTCTGGGACAGTTATAGAGCACTTGCATTGGGGACAGTTACAGAGTACTCGGGGACAGTTACAGAGTACTCGGGGACAGTGATAGAGTACTTGGGGACAGTTATTGAGCACTCGACGGACAGTCACAGAGTACTCGGGGACAGTGATAGAGTACTTGGGGACAGTTATAGAGCACTCGACGGACAGTGATAGAGCACTCGGGGGACAGTGATAGAGTACTCGGGGACAGTTACAGAGTACTTGGGGACAGTTATAGAGCACTCGACGGACAGTGATAGAGTACTTTGGGATAGTTATAGAGCACTCGACGGACAGTGATAGAGCACTCGGGGGACAGTTATAGAGTACTCGAGGGACAGTGATAGAGCACTTGGGGACAGTTATAGAGCACTCAGGGACAGTTATAGAGCTCTCGGGGACAGTTATAGAGCACTCGAGGACAGTTATAGAGCACTCGGGGACAGTTATAGAGCACTCGGGGACAGTTATAGAGTACTTGGGGACAGTTATTGAGCACTCGGAGACGGTTATAGAGCACTCGGGGACAGTTATAGAGCTCGGGGACAGTTATAGAGCACTCAGGGACAGTTATAGAGCACTCGGGGACAGTTATAGAGCACTTGGGGACAGTTATTGAGCACTCGGAGACGGTTATAGAGCACTCGGGGACAGTTATGTTATAGAGCACTTGGGGACAGTTATAGAGCTCGGGGATAGTTATAGAGCACTCGGGGACAGTTATAAAGCACTCGGGGACAGTTATAGACCACTCAGGGACAGTGATAGAGCACTCGGGGACAGTGATAAAGCACTCAGGGACAGTTATAGAACACTCAGGGACAGTTATAGAACACTCGGGGACAGTTATGGAGCAGACAGCATATATGTTAAATCTGACACTATGTATAACCATTGTCATAAAAAGAGCTCAATGTAGGGCACACACACATTCGGGAGTTTTCTTTTGGGCCTGCAAATTCTTGTAACCAAGGACAACAAAATTCATTTGCTTCCACTCCTTGGTCCATAACAACACTGGGGATGTCTGTCTTGTCTCTCTTAGCTTGCCTCCCTAGCTACCTCTCAGCTCTCTTTTACCTCATTACCAAACTAATGACAGGATTAGGTGTCACACACTGTCCATGTTGAAAAGTGAATTACCAATCAACACATTCATCATGTAAATGTTAGTTACATGTAAATGTAAATGTAAATGTAAGTTCTGTTAGTGTAGCTTATAGCTATTAAGAGCACTTGCCAGTATTCCTTGTGTGTATAATTTCTTGATGGGGACTTTTTTTCATGTTCTTAACAGATTTCATTAATTATCCCACAGATTCTTTAACAATTGGGTAAACTAATGGAAATGTAATTGTCTTTGTTTCTTGTAGGTATCGCTAGGTAACTCACCAGCTGGTTTGCCTGTGGGTATGGCACAGATGTCTATAAATACAGGTAAGTGGTTTTATAATGGTATCATATCGAGGATAGGAGAGAGGGAAGGGGAGACCCCAACACTAAACTAACTTCATACTGTAGGGAGATATGGTTTGTAATAGAGGTACAAATCCAGAATTTACATTGGGCAATATTTGTCACTAAAATAAAATGTCAGTGGTAAAGTTCAGGGTAGAAGGAAGACAAGAACACTACAGAATACCAGACTTACAAGACAGATTGTCATTTATAGCATGCTGACCAACCAATTGACATATAATGTGATATCAACTGTCTCAGGCCATACTAGATATACTATAATCTCACTCATATTTCTAAGTTATATAACAACAAAATTTTGCAGATGCTTTTCACCTCATTTTTCTCAGAAAGGTATGCTGGGTTGAATTTCTTGCGATACTTTGCTTAATAACTTAATAAGCAAAAAATTATGAAATTTAAATTTTGCATAAATTCAGCATAAATTTCAGGCCGTGAATGCAACCAAAAATTAAATGAAACATGAACTCTTTGCAGTATCCAGAGATTTTATGTAAATTAAGATATTCGTCAATGTCATTGATTAGGTACACCGACCATACCGGTGATCCCTGCAACTGAAAGTGGTGCTGGGCACGGGGTACCTTTTCAGCCAACACCATTACCAAACTTCTCGTCACCCGGCGGGGGCATCACATGTAAGTAAATGCATTATACCTAAATTACCTACAGTAGAAACCCTTTACTGGGCATCACTTAACTGAGTTTATCTACAATACAGAATTTCATCACTTATATATATATTGAGGTGAGGGGTATCACTTTATCCTGAACCTACTGTAAAAATCTGATCTTTCATCAAAGGGAATCACTTGCAAGCTTATAGTATAATTTATAGGGTGTTTTGATGAATATGTGGAACCAAAATCAAATAACCTTAACACCTATAATTTAAATAGCCCCACTATATATACCTACCTATAGGCAACCCTGACCTTCTCTGAAGGAAAAGACGACAGTCATGGAGTAGCTGTATTTTATTGCCTCTGAAGTATATCCTTGGTTTTACAATTGTTTAATACAACTAAATTATATAACTGAAATGTGCTTACAAAAATTGAAAGGCTGTTTTCATCTTTAGATGTGTTGAAGTACCTGCTTTATTCTAAAAAAAACACCTTTGTATTTCAGTACCAGCAACAACAATGCCTAATTTAGCAGGAATGCCTAACTTATCGGGAATGCCTAACTTATCGGGAATGCCTAACTTATCATCATTACCTCCCTTTACTATGCCGATGTCGCTGCCAGGGATGCAGCCTGGTGCACTTCCAGCCATGTCATCGTTACCTACTCTCCCAGGTAGGTTACAGATTGTATATCAATAAACTAACCTAATGGATTTTT